AATAATTAAAATAAGAACTGATCGTATAAAAATCATGCCGAATTTCAAAAATTATAAAATAGTTCCCATGAAGTGGTCTAGTTTTAGGTGCCATATAAAATTGGATGTGAAATGTACGTGAAAACATCGAAAAACTTGAGTCCGCCCACGGAAAACATTGATTTTACTAATTACTTAACATTAAGAAAAAAAATATACATATTCTTCAGATCGATCATTAAGCTTAGCCGAGATTTTTATTTCTCATGATTTTTGCATTCTAAATATTTCTCATTGCTAAATTAACTAAAATAAAGTTATAAGATAGTAAAAAACAAACAAAATAATTGTAATATGGTGGAGGCATAAAAGTTGATTTTCATGGGCCATTTGTGAAAAAGTTATTTCGCTTTCAAGAAATGCTTAACAAATTCAAAAGGTTTTGAAATGGCTTTTATGAAGAAAACTTGTAGACTGAATTGTATTTATCTAAAGCCATTTTGCTTGATCCCAACCCGTTCAGATTTATGGCAGCATTTATGGCGGCAATGTTGCCTACAAAATGTTACACGTCAAAGTTTGTTTATCTTTCGATAGTTGCGCTGTGCGATTCAGCGTTCTTCCAGGCGATTCTCTCCCGATGGCTTGGAAGCAGTTACTCAGAAAGTGTTCACAACATTTCGCATTTCGCCCAGCTGTAACCTCGATCATTCCCGAAAAGATCCCCTTCTTCCGGATGGTTCTGGAAGTGCACCATCAAACGATGCAGGAATGTATATGGTGGAATGAATTTTTTTCCAAGTGATGACCCTTTCACCGAATTAAATCGCAGCTATGGATCGGAAACCAACTAGTGTCCGCTTACAGTTTCAGTGATTTGCTGTCGGTACATATGCAAGTTATTCCGATCTTCAACTATTCGCAAGGTCTGGAGAAGGCTGGTCTGTTTTCAGACTGTTTTGACAATGTTCTATGAATTTAAGGACCACGCTCACTTCACTCTTCTCCACCAGATGCTCAGTAGTTGATGGTACCCGCTCCACCGGACGTGCTGGTTCTTCTAAAGAACTAAATTTTACTGAAATCGACTTCCCTTCGGTCGTTAGCATCGCTTGAATTTTTCCTCCAACTTCGTTTATCCTTCGAGATATCCTCCCAACAAACAATTTTAGCTGTAGATCAGCTTATACAACCAAAAATTGGCTTATACAGCTAATTTTTGCCTGTATAAGCTAGTCTGTGGCTAAAATTGTTTGTTGGGCTTGTCATAAATTTGGTTTTTATTCACTATGAGGATCCATCCTTAAAGTTCAATTTGTAAACAGAGGAGATTTTATGATACACTTTTAAAAGCCTAAAAGGCAACAATATATGCATTTTACTCTCATTTTAAACCGAATGGTTTTATGATTGCTTTTGTAATGATAGAACAGGTTTGTAGAGTATTTTATCAATACAATAATAAAAAATTGCTTATGAAGTTCATGATTGATTTTTTGAACAGTTTTATGGTGGGATTGAGAACTGCTTTAAATTTAATTTTAAAACAAGACAGTTTTTGACTTCTCGCCAGACTGTAAAAGGTTTCTAAAACAACAAAAAGGTGAACTACTAAGCAGGAACGTTTTACGCCGTGAAATGCTGTATTTAAACTAAATGGATTATTCATTGCCATTATAAAACCATCATAAATCAGAGTGGATACCAAATGATTGCAGAATTGTAACTTCGGTTAAGAAATATATCTCTGATGAAGTATAAATTCTTAGAATTCAAATAATAAAAGATTGCGAAATTTGATCCATCATCAAGGGGCATTCAACTCTGCACACCTTAATCTGTGCCAAGAAATTTGGCAGTGCCGAAAGCTGTGCCAAGCGTTATGCTAATTGTTTCAGAGTAGGCCGAACTGTATCAATCAAGGTGTCAATATTCCATGAGCTTGGCAACTCTGAAGCTAGACTTTTGTGATTGTGATTACATTTTCAATTTCACTATCTCATGGCCATGGTTCATGGCCAACATTAAGCTTCATTCTCATTTAAACGTGAGTGGAGTGGGCAGTGGAAGAGGAACTGGAAACAATCCAACCTATACTACCCGTACACATAAAACGTGTGCAGAAACGAAGGTGTAACCTGATCGGTGGTAGACGAAATTTTCACCAGCTGCCAGTAATATGCTCCCGACAAAATTAAACCCAGAACTCGACCAGGCGGCCCACCGTAGAAACAACATCCTCAAACAGTTCTGATCGACTCATGACCTCGAATAAATCACCCAAGCCTAGCGTATCGCTGATTATGATGTCTCTTACCACCAACCAGGTTATTTGTTCAAGATGTAAGCTTGATCATATTTTATGCTGAAGATCTTCAATTGTCCAACAATTCAAATCACATTTCCCAGTTATCCTCTCAAACACCAGGTTGCTCAGAAATTATTCCAAAGATCCCCAGGTCATCTCCAAAAATTCCTCATAAGTATTTGTTCGAGACTTCAGCTTGTACAGTTTGATCATGCTGAAGATACCAGATTGCTCATAAATTAGTTCAAAGACTTCCAAGTGATTAAAGGTTTCCTAAAAGTTCTCAGGATATTTGTTCAAGACTTCAGCTTGATCATGTATGATTTTAAAGATCTTAATCTGCCCAACATTTCATATCACATCTCTCAAAAATGCTTTCCAATAGCAGGTTGCAGAAATTATGTCAAAGACCTCCAGGTGATCAGACATCTCCAAAAGTCCTCAAATATTTGTTTAAGACTTCAGTTTGATCAGGTATCATTCTGACGATTTTCAACTACCCAACAATTCAAATCTAATATCTAAGATATCCTCAAGATTCCAGGTTGCTCAGAAATTATTTAAAATAACAACAAGTGATAAGAGATCACATTGAGAATTTCAGGATTTTTCAAGATTCCAAAGATATTTCCAAGTATTCCATAATCCATATCTCATATGAAAAACAACCGCTTGGAAATTATTCCAAAGTCCTTCATGTGTTTTAAGATCTCTATAAGTCGTATGTCAATGAAATTATCCAGCACCATACCATCCAGCATATACTAATTTCTAGTACAGGAAGCCACCGAGTACTAACAAGGTGCGGAGATCTCGCCCTCACGTATGTTTTGGTAGAGGAAAAAAGGTTAACATTGCGGAAGAGGATGGTCACGACGTCATAACACTCGAAAGCAAATTTGCGAAATATGAACTACAGCAAATCCTAGCTATGTTTGCATGATGACTGCACTTGATTGGATCATTTTGTAAAGTCTCCGGGAAATATCAGCTGGCGTTTTGTATTATTATGATAACTCCTTTCTTGAAAACGGGCAAAAATTCACAGCAGTTTGCTTTTTCGGGGCGTACAGTGTGATAATCCAATAATCAATAAATTGTTCAATTTACGCCGTGAAATATACAAAAGTTAATTAATGATGCATGCTGGAACTGTTTATCAATTCAAATCACATCACTCTGATATTCTCTCATGATGCACGATGGCTCTGAATATATTCCAAAGACCATCAGGTGATCAGAAGTCTTTGTTTTCTAGGCTTCTGGATGATTAAGTTTTGTTATTAAAATGGTATGATCGCTCACAGCTCAGGATGGTGTGGTAAGGTCACCTTAAGATTCCTTCGTCATCCTACCTTTCTATATCACTTTGTTTATCTCCACCAAGCACAAATTGGCTCAAAATGGTTAAAATGCATCAATAGTTGTTGTATTTACACTAATCTTCTTGTTTTTACTTACTCAAATCCAACCCCGGATAACCCATGATCTTCTACTCAATAAGCAAAAACGGTAGCTCTATAGCCACCGTGCCCCTTACATTACCACAATCAACGACCGATTCAAAAAAAAGCTATTCAAATGATGGCGGTTGTTTGGTTGTGAAAGAGCTTGGGATTAAACCCATGACATTTTACTCACTAACCAAAAACGATTCCTCCAGGGTAATTGAGCTTCTAAAAACCACAACACTTCACGCCAAAATATAATTATGTTTAGCATGGTACTGAACAACAATTTTAAATATGTGAATGGTACTGCCTACGGTGACTACGATGGCGACTACGACGGCGAATACTACAGCGAATACGACGTCGCTTACAAAGACGACAACAGCGAATTTGGAACTTACCAATTGTCTAGGATATCTGGATAGAGCTGAAAAAAAAACTGTTACGCCCTAATTCCAGCTCTATCTAGATATAACACCTTTGCCCGGCACGTCCACTGGATCTTCATGTCCGTATCTGTCACTGGTTGCAAAAATATCTAATGGCAATTACCTCTGTCGCAATATTTCCTTCAACGAAAACATATGTTCTTGCATTTTCATGGTCATCTGGGAGGAGGTTCGCGTTTCCCCAGGAACCATACGCGGCCACCAGCTACCGTACAGTCTTGGGTGTATTAAAGCAAGGCATCCTTCAGATTACTCGTAATCTCCGACACCGATGAGAGACCAGCAGCCGAGCACTTTTGTAAGCGGAAAACTTGCTGGTTCACGGCAACGTCAGCCACTGAATCTCCACCGGGCTCAAACTCGCCCGCGGTCACGAGACTCTCGATAGAACTACACGCCGAAAGTGTGACATCCGAACTCGGAGAACCGGGCTCCTGGGAGGCAATCCACTATAACACAATTCCATGAACACTTACAACTCAATTACGGCACAAACAAATGATGTTTACGCCAAAAAAAATTCAAATCCGCTGAAGAAAAACACGCAGAAAAAATAAGCACGTCAGATTTCAAGCGTAGCGATCAAAAAATAAATGTCGATCTTTATCCTGACTAAATAAATTTTCCCCGCTTAAAGGACGGTTATAACATTAGAGGGATACATTTAGTTGACAATCGATGCTTTACCAAATGGTGTCATTAAGGAGGGTCCACTCTTCATAGGAAATTCATTGGCCAGTTATTCAACAAAATGAATAGGCATTTCACATTAAAGCATTTTAACTAATTTTCTATTCAATCCTCTTTTTCCAGGACCACCACAGGCTATCACGCTGGCATCCCCGGGTAATACCGTTCCGCCCGTTTTGTGGCGTGCACGACGAAAAGCCGGTAAGTACCATCTTCACAGTTCAATGCATGCATGGTTCGAGGAATCCTACCTTCAGCAAGTTGAAACCTTGTTTCTAGCACTGTGAATCCTCCTAATGTCCTTGAGTGAGCGCACGGTGTTGAAGCACGTCGGTCGGTGTGTCGGTGATGCGAAAAATGTAATCAATAGAGTAAAGACTCCCACTCCATCACGGCAAAAAGCCACATGTTTTCCATTGAGCTCCAAGGTCGACGCCCCTGTGCTCTGGTCGTTCAGCGTTTAAACGCAGCGCCACGAGTTTGCAGTGCTAATATGCTCTAAATGCTCCTGCAATAATAAAGTTAATGGATCTTTTTATCCTCTCGAGTGCCGAGTGTCGAGTATCGTCACTCGCTGAAGGTAAGAGTCGCCAGGGGAGCAACCGGTGTGAGACGCGATATCGAGTTGCCTTTGCTTCCTTTCTGGATCCTGCGCCGATCTCTGGCACCTACTACACACCCTCTCCATTGCTCAAACAAATGGACACATCATAGTTTTGGATGGTGTGGTGATGGAGCTGCTTGATCCTGGCCTAGTCTCTGACCACCGGCAGCACCACTTGCCTTGAAGTGAACCTTGAAATGAAATTTTTTTCTTGACCTTTTCCTCGGAGACACGTCTTTTTGTTGAGGTCTGCCAACTACTCTGTACTGGCCACGGTCGGTCGGTCGGTCGACTTCCAATCGATAAGTCTAAAAATAAACGCGGGATTTTCCACTCCGGGAGGAGAAGACACGTGCTGCGTGCTTTGCTTACTCTTACACGGTGCGTGATTTCGGGCGTCTGGAAATTCGAACAGCTTCACGTCAATTTACTCCCTCATCTTGTCACCTATTCCGGAGAGGCAATGTGGGTCGGAGTTCCCCTGCAATCGACCTGACGCTTGTGTGTAATGATCCAATGGATTTTATTTGATTATCATCACCGTGGAAGTCTCCCGCCTTTCCTGCCTTTCATTGCTCCCTTTTTCCTCCTATTTATATAGCCTTCCTGACACATGCTGTGAATTGAAGTGTGCTTAGATAAAACGACATCCCGCTGACTGTTCCGAGAGTAGAGGCAGAGGGTGATTCCCATTCATACCGTACCGTTTGTCTTTTTTTTTCATAGTCATTTATTCGCTTCTTTTTTCTCTGTGTAGCCATCGAGTTGCAGCTTGGATAGCATCGTGATGAAGCTTTCGAGAGATATCTGATTTTCCATTTTCGGTGTCAGATTTAACGCTGCTAGATTACTGCGAATGTCAAACGAAATTACTAAAGCGATGACGACGACGTTGATTGCAGCTTCTGGCAGTGATGGCAGCCATAATGAAGCAGCTGAGCTTTCCCGGAATTAAACCGGCAGAGGACTTGAGTGTTTCCCTGATAGGAACTGCCATTTTTGGCAGCCGATTTAAGAGATTAAACGACGCTTAAAAATGAAGAACATTTGCCTTTGTAAGGTTCTGGTGGGCAGTAGAAATTATGCCATAATGACTGGATGTTCAGAGTCTTCTGGACGAGCAAATTAACTCACCATGGTCAAGATGAAACGTTTGGCTTGCATTGAAGGTTCACTAAGTGTATGTAATATAGGTAATTTCCAAGATCGAAGTTTGTAACAACCATATAAATAGTTTAACGCCAATCGACCTTCTCCGATTTGCACGACATTTTGAATAATCGCTAATTATAGGAAACATTCACATTCGTGCCAAAACCGGCCCTTTTAACCGTGCATATTTTTTAGATTGTTTTTTCAATCAATCATATTTTAGTATAAAATAATACGTTTAATTATCGGAAATTCAATTTATTAAAGCGGAAATTGACTCGTTCATGTGTGTTTATATCGTTGTTCATTGGAAATCAAATCAATTTCAATTGATCTTTTACCTTTGATGTTTATACACACATATAAAATCAATGCAAATGAATGGATTATTAATATACTGTTATGTCAAATTAATGTTTTGTTGCTGTATGTTTCGACTCAGGCCAGAAAATAAATCAATGTGCCATACGTAAATTAACAAAGCTTTTGCTGTGTTGAGATTTAAGTTCATTAGGAAAGTTATGCAAATTCAATCAGTTCTGAGACCTCAGGGATGATCCATGGTTATCAGGAAAACTGCAGGAACTTCAGCGAACTTTCGAGAATGTCATGTAAATTTCGAGTGCTTAAGGGCAGTTCCATTCAATTTAGAAAAAAATAACGAGACTCTTCAAAAAGTTCCGAAAATTGACAATAAAGGGTGTCCACGATGAAATTGCCACACTATGAAATTGCTCTTACTTTTTAACCGTTGGGTAGAATTTAATGAAAATTTGGGTGGATTTAGTTCATAGTGCATTATTTACATCCTGCAAGTTTTAAAGTCCTGTGATCAAAACTCGCGGAAATGGAGTCGAAAGAACAGCTCGTGCGTGATAAAATCTTGCGCATTCATCACGAGAACAAGGATATCTCGCATCGTTCCATCGCTAAAACGTTGGGAATCGCGAATTCCACGGTGTCGCGAGTGATTAAGCGGTTCGAGGAACGGTTGACCACCGATCGGAAGCCCAGAAGTGAAGGAAAAAGTATTCCGTACAACACCAAAAATCACAACCGCGTAGTTGGGGCCTTCAACCGAAATCCGAACGCCTCCGTTAGGGATGTGGCTAAGAAGCTGCACCTAAGCCAAAGTTTTGTCCAGAAGGCCAAAACTAAGGCTGGGCTTCGAACGTTCAAGGTACAAAAGGCCCCTAATCGCGACGAGAAGCAGAACAAGTCCGCCAAAACCCGTGCCAGGAAGTTGTACCTCAACATGCTGACGAAAGTTGAATGCTGCATCATGGACGAAGAAACATATGTGAAGGCCGACTTCAAACAGATCCCCGGAAACCTGTTTTTCACGGCCAAGGATAAGTTCAGCGTTCCGGAGCATGTCCGCACTCAGAAGATGTCCAAATTTGCGAAGAAATTCCTGGTTTGGCAAGCCATCTGCACGTGCGGGAAGCGGAGTGCACCTTTCGTGACCCAGGACACGATGAACGGACAGGTGTACATAAAAGAGTGCCTCCAGAAGCGGCTGCTTCCTCTCCTGAAGGCCCACAACGTACCAACAATCTTCTGGCCGGGTTTGGCCTCATGCCACTACTCCAAGGACGTGCTGAAGTGGTATGCGGACAATAAAGTCAATTTCGTGCCGAAAATGTTCAACCCTCCCAACACTCCGGAGCTCCGCCCCATCGAGAAGTACTGGGCGATTATGAAGCAGCACCTTCTTAAACGACCTAAGGTAGTGAAGACAGTCGAGAAACTGAAGAAAGTATGGGTTTACATGCAAAAAACGGTTGATTCACAGGTTGTGCAGAATCTTATGGCCGGGGTTAAGGTCAAGGTGCGGGCATTTGCGTATTCCCACGAATACGATGGCGACTACGACGGCGAATACTACAGCGAATACGACGTCGCTTACAAAGACGACAACAGCGAATTTGAAACTTACCAATTGTCTAGGATATCTGGATAGAGCTGAAAAAAAAACTGTTACGCCCTAATTCCAGCTCTATCTAGATATAACACCTTTGCCCGGCACGTCCACTGGATCTTCATGTCCGTATCTGTCACTGTTTGCAAAAATATCTAATGGCAATTACCTCTGTCGCAATATTTCCTTCAACGAAAACATATGTTCTTGCATTTTCATGGCCATCTGGGAGGAGGTTCGCGTTTCCCCAGGAACCATACGCGGCCACCAGCTACCGTATGGACTGTAAATAAAATACGAGTAAAATGGTAAAATGAAGTTTAATAGTTATTTCTCAATCCCTGAAAATTTGATGGCAATCGGATGAAAACTCGAATTTTGCGAATCAATTTTGTGTGTGGCAATTTCATCGTGGACACCCTTTAGTCATATCAAGAAATTTCACAGAAGTCCCGAGATATTCACGGAAATACAGAAAATGTCGGGAAGTTAAGAAATCTTATGAGACATTTTATTGATTTCAGAGCAACTTCAGGAATATCAGCAGAAGAGAAGCAAGAACTTTGGGGAAGTTCCTTAAGGAGCAGTCCACAAAAATCATAGGAACTTTAAACAAGTTCCTACGAATGAAATAAGAAGGAGAAGTTTGTTGAACATACTGCGAGATAGTACGGTTCTGTAAAATTGTGAGCACTTCAGGGAAACTTATGGTTCCATCTGCTTCAGGGAAACGGTAGGAACTTTTAAGTATTCTTAGGAACAGCTGGGTTATCCAGCGAACTTTCAGGGTTACCCAGCGAACTTCAAGAAAATCAAGAAACCTTCAGATAAATCCAGAGAACTGGAAAACAATGTGAAAACTTTAAAGAAGAACCAAGAACCTCAGAGAAACTATATTTAGAGAACTGACGTTCGGACACATTAAAAACCTGTGAAAGTAAGTGATGTGATGTGAATGGAGCCCACCATCAGTGCAATGATTACCAATGTGTGTAGATACTTTACCGGTTGTAAAGTTATGCCTGATGGTTTGTTGCAGCAGGGTGAATCAGCTTCATTGAAGACCTTTGGCCAAAACGACCAGATGGCCATCTGTAATCACGTGAAAAGGGACTGGAAAATCCACGAACCCTCTTCCAGTCAACAAATCCTTTGATTCCCCTCGGCTGCCCCCCCCCCCCAACCCAGTATTTAACATAATGTTTTAACATATATGATTTACAGTAATGTTCCATCACATGGTAAAAAATGTGCAGACAATCCATTTGGCGTTCAATGATGATTTTAAAGACACAAAAAATGGGATGCATGGAGAAAACTCCGTTAAGAATTTGTCAAATTTATGAGAATCATGAAAATTTATTTTAAATAGATAAAATCAGATACGATCTCACCGAGTTAGTCCAAATGAATCCACAGGAAGCATCCGTGTTATTGTTGCATTGTTGTTCCAATCAAAGACGGTTCGCTTGTCCCGTCCTATGTAGAACCAGTTTGAAGTGTCCAATTCAGTGCCAACATTTC